GGAAATTAGGGTTGTTTTGGGGGGTTCATAGTATACAATGTTGATAGTATTTGGGTATAAGAGTATATTGTGGGGAGTCGGGTTGTGGATGAAAACAGGGTCTATTGTTAAGTAGTAACTTGATTCAGTGTATTATGGCATTCTCTTGTAACTATATCAGGTATCCTATGCTACAAGTTAAGCAAGTACTTTGGGGACATATTAAGGTATTTAATTCTACATGACCAATGTGTTGATATCCACACAGGCAATACCTCATAGCTCCTATTCAGTGTATAAATAATGTCCTGATAGGCTAGACTAAGTGAACCCACTCAAGACTTGAATACCTAAAATCATATATATCAAGCACAGAAAAGCTCAATAGAACATAAACCAAAGTAAATCAAAAGATCCATATTAGGACAAGCTGAAACTTAGAAATTCCTGATAGGAGGTATACGCAGCTCCTGGTTATGATAGTCAGATACAGCATTCGGTCGTAGCTGGACGAATTGTCTTCGATTTTATAACAGTAATTGATAGTGTCTTCCAGAAAGCAATTGATGATCATCTACCAGCCTCGTTGAGCACTGTGGCAAAATACTACTGGGCGAGTATACAAAGCTGGGTCACTGTCGATTAGCACAGCTCACGATTGAGATCTGTCACTTCGTTGAGACGAGGTCAATCACATTACTAGATTAGTGGGTGTTCAGTGCGTGAGCAGACTACTGTAGAAGGAGACCACTTAATTGGACGAATGGTCTTCAGTCTGAGTTGGATGGTTCTTCTATAGTGGCATGCCCTTTGACAGATTGCCTCTTGTTGTATTAAGTACTACAGCTGGTCCAAGTATCAGTGCAGTTCCAGTTGCAATTGCAATGGGCCGTATCTCTGAGCCTCATATCAGGCCGCTATAAGAACAACCATGATAATTGGCCATCTGATGATCTACTGTACTGCTACTCATAGATTGACGGAGGATTCACCCCGTAGCAGAGCACGGGCCATGGAGATATGGAGCTTTCAGGTGCCGTCGCTGATATGCAGACATGCCATGGATTTACCTCCGTTTTCAATAATTGACTGCCCCTTCCATCGCTGGTGGAGCGAGCAATGGCGCTCTTCACGGACCGTTCCGATAAGAGATCGCTTTGACTGCCCCAAAGGAGAAAAAGCTGAATTAGCGTTTAGGAAGCGGGATGCCCAAACTCAAAGAGAGGAGACACTTTGAAGCCAGACTGGGTAACTCATAACAATACCGGTCATATCCTCACCGACACTCTGCTGAATTTGCCATTATCGGACGTGCTCAACATCAACACCCCATGCAGATGACTGGTCACTCCGTAATGCAGCACAGGCTGCCGGGCTCAACGTCCGTCATGCAGCCATCTCGCTCGCAAATTCTGGCCCTCTCGGTAGACTGGGTGGGTGCCACCGCCAAGGCTGAAGTCAACGCGGTCACCATGTATTGCTCCGGCAAGATTGTCAAAGTTTTCCCACGCAACTGCTGACTCGCGCAGACCATCACGTCCGTCCAGATCACAGTCATCGATAGTGAGTTGCCGCTCTTAGCTGGCGTACTTCATACGCAGAAGTATTTGCCTTCACTGGGGCTGTCACGGGGCGCGTAGCGACAGCAGGTTGCACAGCAGCCACACTGAGCGCATGAGACACCATGTACAGCCGCGACCAAGATGCATCTATACTCGCCACGTCGATATCGTTGGGAGGACTTAACCCGTTGGCATACTTGATATCACGCAACCCACCGTGCCAGCAACGAGGCTAGACTGATTGGTTCTTTCCTCCGAAGCATCGTAAGCCGGGACCAAGAGAAGAACACGGTCTTTCCGAAGTCGTGTCGCTGCAATCCGCGTTACGGTGGCTCTTTCACTCGGTCCGCTCAAAGCGCCGCCAATACGTACGAAGTACGCACTCCCGACGGCCAATACGTCGGTGAAGCGGGAGTGTCCATCGAGTGGCAAATCGAATAGCCTGGCTCAACTAGATCTTGCGTCAGTTGTTTAATGCACGTTGTTATCGTTGGCAGTGTGGCAATTCCCCCTTACCGTTTGTCTTAATTCTTGACTTTGGTCGTATATTATGCTACCTGCAATCTGCTTGAAGGGAAGAATAAGTGATCGCCGTGATCTGAGGACTTTTCACAGTGATACGGGTATTCAGATTGAACTATCACGCAACACTGCTGTGCTGTTACCCATACCCGCGCGCCTAGACGGAGATCGAATTAAATTCAAAGGGTATAACGTAGCCCCTTTCAAAGGAACAGAACAGAGTAGATAGGTATCACGATGTCCCATGACTCGGGTCGGGTTGGCAAGAAGCAGTTATATCCGAGGCGTTGCAGACGACAACTCTAGGCGTCTGCTGTGATCATTGCCCCTCGTGTCGCTCTGCGCAAACCAAGCATGGCTAGGGCCCCTCTCGGGAAGACCCTTCTCGGAAAATTAAACCATATCCTTGTGTAGCCCGGACACGTACTAGCAGTTATTGTGTGAGGTCGGATGTGCAACCCGCCTGATCGCCATATGAAGCGATGGTCAACACCGGTGATTTTTGGATTAGCTTTTCCGTGTCTGAGCTTCTCGGCTTTCCTTCTCCGCTCTAGTCTTTGGCTAGTGTGTATTCCGCCCGTTGATTTTTTTGAAGCTGATCCGTCACGAGTCAGGCGGTCTCATCGAAGTGGGTGACTCTAGAATAGAAGGCATTCTCAGCCGAATGCCCCCAGCAAATGAGCAGTGCGATCGGATACAGGTCCAGCACCAACACCCGCTCAGCTTCAGCACCGATATAGATAGATCGATAGCTGGCGTGATAAGTATCTAGCTATCATTAGAGCCGAGTTAGTATCGGTGCGGCGTCAGTAGTCCGAGCGATAGTCTGTTTGAGCCTCGAGCAGATGACAAATAATGGGCGCCAATCGTTGCCTCGTCAGGCACTGCGTGTTTCCCAATCGGGTTGGTGTGGCCCCGGCCAAGCTAAGCCCCAATGGGGAAATGGCAGATCTGCTTCCTTCGCAGTTTGCAGCTGAACATTTTAGTTGACTTGCAATTGGAACAATCCCATTGCGTGGAGACTCTCCCATCGTAATTTCGTATGGGTGGGTGAGGTGAAAGCTCGAGGATTCACCAGAATTACCTCTCCCGGGGAACGCGGGGATCGTGATTATAGTGACAGACTAAGCTATCTCTCCGTACGCGTCCAGCCTGCAGCCTGCATGGTGCATCATCCTTCATGGCTTTGCCCCTTACCCCATTGAGTCTAAGGATGGAGGGGGGGACGCGGTCGCTTGAACTATTGGCAGTCGTCGGCCCCTAATGGGCAGATCCATCGTGCTGGCAGCTTCCCTTCCAGCGAGAATCAACCAGAACCGAACCGTCCGTCTGTCCTAGCGCGTAAGTCCAGTGGATTAGGATGGTTAGGCTGTACAATCAAATCCCTTGCGGGCATCCCGCATACTAAAAAAGTATGTGCCATCACTGCCAACCAACTGCCATAGCCGCCCCGATCAGTGTGTCTGTGCTATGTCTTTTGCTGAGGAAAGAGGATGTTGTAGGGGATCATCTCTCATCTGAAATGATTTCCAATCCCAAGTTTTGTCTCCGAGCTCGGATTGATCCATGATGGAGCTTGGGAGGGGCTAAGGACGGTGCTGTCATATGGTAGCCCAAAACGTTAACCTGAGAAATTCCCCGCAGTGGCTCCCGTGAACCGGCCCCAAAATTGTATCGTGACTTGGTATTAAGTAGGACTCCAGATAACATTCCCGCTGGGTCAGTTCAGGCCAACCCAAAGGAGTAATTGCATCAATTAGACCTGAAGAAAAGGGGGCGGCAACAACACAGGAGAAGGGAAAGAAAAAGGAAAAGCAAATGAAAATCCCATTGTAGGTGATACACCGGTCTGCTAACGCCCCATGGCATATGCCATGGGAAAAACCGTTGTCGAGAAGCCATCCAAAGTGGTTCCTCTTGCTTCGCCCACGCGCCTTGGTTCCGTGTTCTGTGCTCGGCGAATCCAGGTGGATCTTTCCGTTCATCCAAGGGTCAGATCATCCGAGGGGGCCATTCAACTTTTCTGCCCATCACCGACACTGGGGCGCGCCCCCCCTCCCCTGCAAAATTTCCGGCGCTCAGGTGATTGAACCATTGAGGTACACGGTCGTTCCACTGGCCAGGGCGCTGTTGCTGCAGCCACATCTTGTTTGGAAGCAAGCATCACCGTGGTTTGTTCGCATGTCCCGGACAATAAGGACGCGTTGGTGAGAGCTCGACATTGTGGCTGGACATTGTGTGGGATCTGCCTCCCCCCTGTTCGTGCTTCTCACCATCATGCAGTCTAGACCGACGCTTCGGCGCTTCAGTATGCTTGAAGTGACAGCCTGATGGCAAGAGCGGTTAGAGCATTCTTGCATCCCAATGCGGACTATCTACTTCTCAGCCACCAATGCCGGTGTTTATCACGCTTATCCAATTCTTATGTTGGAACTGAATCATGATCAACCATAGGTGTGCCGGGCTTTGGCCTGCAGGGCCCAAAGAGCCGACCGGCCGAATCCATCCAGTCCGGCGCTGGCATAATGTGGCACATACATTCCTGAACTGGCACACACACACACCCGTTTATCCACTCCGTATTAACGCTGCGTGGGTGGGACCCAGCATAACCTATTGCAGAAACCACACGGAGAATTGCGGGCTCTCAGTCCAGTGGTTCGGGCTATTGAGCTGGCGTTTATTCATTGAAGCCCCAATATGTAGCACAATCCTACTGTCCAACCCCGATTAAGGAGCTCGTAAACCCCCAAGGAGGCTCCCTCAGAGGCCTCGCGACGCATTACTTTGGTCATGTCTTCATAGCGTTCTTCATCCCTTGCACGGCACGCGAACCGCCAGCCATGTGAGTGACAACACGTCGATTTGATATCAATTATGCACCTCGCAGGCGTATTCAAGCCCTAGCAAAAGAAACATGGCGTCCGATGACCGAGACTAGACTCCAGTGCAGGCTGCAGTGCGGCTATTTTATCGTTATCCTGTTGGCTCTGGGAAGAATGAGGTTGCCTTGAAGCGCGATTTCCGGCACACGCCTGGCCGGAGTATATAGCAACCTTGATCTCAAGAGGGGAAGAGAGCGACGTAAGCAGGCGAATAACCAGATAAACCAATATTATTGGTGAGTAATGGCCCCCCAATTATGAGACGCGCATCCCGAAAATACAGTAAGTATGAGGGGAAGGACAATACTAGTAGCAGAGTTGCAAAGAGGAGGTGGTGGGGGAAAAGAAAGCAGGCAAAGTGAGAAACATCACTGGAGAGCTTCCGAGATGACCACGTTCTTTTCTCTCCTTAAACCCAGTCCATACTTCAATTTTTAGTTGGGATCTAAACACACAGCGACGCTTGAACTTTGGTCTTGCTTCTTCGAAGGAGAGGGAAGGGGAGAAGGAAGATGGCCGCCCCCCTCCCCAGCAAAAGAAAAGAATCAAACCTACTACTACTATTACTTACTAGGTAGCGTAATAACCACCCCATCAAACCAAACGGTTTGAAAAGTCTAGGACGTAGGCATTCTCACCAGACTAGCAGAATCAGGACATCATTCTCCTTAGTCTTATCCTGAATCACGGGGGGAGGGTGGGATGGGTACACAAGGAATACACACACCGTCACCTTTTGGGTTTACCCGCCCAATGCAATCGGTCGACGAGCTTTAAATCCTGGCAGCGCAGTTATTCCTTCTCCGTCTTTATTCGGTAGCGCGTGTCAAACTGGGGACGGAATGTCCTTTTCCTCCCCTCCCAATTCTACCGAGCGGACTATTGGCAATGGGCGCCGCGGGCGGGCGTCCATGTCGATCCGTGGCTCCCTCCCCTTCGCCTTGCTTCCGGGCTCACTGATTGGCACTGAACGATCAGGAAATCAGGACTAGAAGTAAAATACAAATAAGAGTAAATTGTGAATAAGAAATATATAGATATATGAAATATAAATTAATAAATAAATAAAACGAAGACAAAATGAATCAAATGGAATAATTAGATAAACAAAGGGGGATATTATGATGATTTAAGAACCGCAAAGAGAAAAGGTAGGAAAAATGAGGAAAAAGAAATGAGTCGATCTCCCTCTTACTGGCCGGTGTTGGTCCCAATCCCAGTGCCAGTTCCAGTTCCCCTCTTCCTTTTTCTCCTCCTCCTTCTCCCCAACTGGGTTTTGTTTTACCCTTTTAGGTGGGTGTCACTGACAGCGGCATCCAGTCCCAATGGCCCATCTTATGCAAGCCACTGCTTCTGATCCAGCAGGCCGGACAGGACGAGCGAACTCTCCAGTTTCTCGGCGGGAACTCCTTCCCAGCGAACAGGGAGGAAGAGGTGGTCTACAGTAAGAGAAGGATCACCAATGATGATGGTACGACTAGGATAATCAGGGGGGAAAGAAAGGTAAAAAAAAATAAAGAATAAGAAAAAAGGGAAGAAGGTCCTCCCAGCGGAATATTAACAAGCACAGGACAGTTGAAGAAGCAGAAAGTCATTCAGTCATTCAGTCCTTCATCATCGCTTTGGTGGGAACCCATTCAAGTCGGAACCCCCCATCCCCTCTTCCTTCCGGAGCATTGATATCACTCGTTTCTCCGAACCTCACTAATCTCCATACTCACATATTTCCAGACTCGACGGAGCCAAAGATACATTTACCCCATTTAAGATCTACTACCATGATGGAGATCAGGTCTATCGGCTGCTAGTCGGGGTTGCACTGGCCACCAGTTACCCACTTCTGATTTCCCACTACGGCCGGGTCGACCAAGCAAACAAGGCTTTCTCCTTCTTTCTTTCTCGCTCTCTCCCTTTCAGGGTGATTTACTTTGTATGTCGAGGTATAAGCCTTGTCACAAGCTGCGGGCAATGACGCAGAAGGAGAGGGGGCCACTAATCTCTGATCACATTTTCTCCATCATTAATATGTTATTTTATTTTATTTTTCCCATTCATGCCTTTCTTCGATGAGGCCCACGTCTCGGGGGAACTAGACCGCCCAGCCGGGTTTTTTCGCTCTGTTCTGTTCCCCTTGGAATCGCCAACTGCCTTTTGGCCGTTGACAACTTGTACTTCTGGGGCGTCGGGTCCTAACAAAAACCTCCTATTAGTGAATGATTCCCCTTTCCAATTTGATCATTTGATTTCCTCCCCCCATTCTGTGGTATTTTACTTTGACCCGTCTTTTTTTTTTATTTGAACCTTTTATTTTATCTTATTTTATATATTCAATTTCTGACATCTCTCCCTCTGTGTGTTGGTAACAGACTGTGAGATCCCATCGGGATTTTACGCCTCACTTTCCGGTATAGTTCACCGTTCCCGCAGTTCTGGTTGTTCGGGAGAGTTGGGCCAGTTCATACTTCTTACCTCTCAAGTTGATTTTTCAAAATAAATATTATACTAGTAACAACAAAAGGAAAACAGAATAATACGAAATAAGTGAAGAAATTAATAAAGAAGGAAAAGAAAAATCCACTAGAAAACATGAACAGGAAAAATGAGCAATTCCCCAAAGAGAAAAAAAAAAAGGGAGGGAATAAATAATAAATAAGAAAGGAATAAAAAAGAAATTCATAAAAAGTGCGAAATTCAGAAAATAGAATATAGAAAATAAAACAAAGTCAAAAAAAGAATTAAGCCCTACACGCTCATCGGTGTACTGAAAGGTAAGGTACGCCTGAAGTGGTGTAATTTATTTGCATCTAACTTGGTTCTGCTGCTGCTTCTTGTCTGGCTGCTGCCTTTTTGCTTTCCTGAATTATTGCTTTTTCGCCCATGACCATTCCGTGCATTTTCCCTGGCCCCAGTGATCGCCCACCATGCTGCAATAAATCATCCCAGGATGGGGACCATCGAAGCTATGGAAAACTGCTGTCACAATCTGGCTTCCCTCTGCTGATCGACGCATCCTAGTTTCTGACTCCTCCAATAGTGATCCTTAACTGACTGATTATAAGCTCCCTGTGCTCCTCCCGGCCTGCAAGCGTGAGGTTTCAATGATGACTGGCAACTGAACAACACACCGCAACCCAAGGACAGTACTATACGAGCTGAAGAATCAAATAGGGCCCTGAAGACCAGATATGTTGCCTACTTTAAGATCCGAACCAGATCGCCTTCCATTCTTGTGAACCTATTCTCCCCTCAGTGATTCCATTGTCAACGGGACCAAGGTTTACCAGATGCAATCATTAGTCCTTCCTCCTTCTTCCTTCATCGCTACAGAGTTTGGACACCCCAGGTTTGATCCGGGCCCGGAGCGGCTGTCGTTGAATTTGCCTCGGTCGACAAATGCTCGTCGATATCCCCCGCGGGATCTGCCTCTCCCTCGCTCTATGTCCGGTTCGGTTCCAGCAGACGACCCGCTGGACACTTCTGGACCCGTCAGGCGCCCCGGACATCCAGAGCTGCCCCAAGCCGCGACAACGGTGACCGCTGCAACCTCTGTATCCGCGGGGCTGTCAGGACCGGTCCTGCCTCCAGGATCTGCTGGCGCCGTTACCACTCACGAGTCTGTGACCCAACGTGTGGCCCCGGCCTCAGCCGACGAAGTGCTGCGACAACCCTTTCCCGTGGGCGATGCCTTCGCCTCATCGCGACTGCCACCCTCGCTGGTAGGCCAAGGCATCTCGCAAGCTACCGCTACCGCTTATGCGCAACCTTCCTTTGGAACTTCACCTCCCGGTACAACGGCGCGGGCTTTGCCGCAAAAGCCCACCCGACGCACCAAAGCTCATGTTGCATCAGCATGCGTTAACTGTAAAAAGAAGCACCTAGGGTGCGATCCGGCGCGGCCATGTCGAAGATGCGTTCTGTCAGGGAAAGAAGTGAGTATCATCATATTTCTTTGGTCGCTAGCCTATCTGAACGTGAAGGGGGTGGCATCTGGTCTCTGACTACCCCCAAGAAAAGGCAGAAACTTCATTTTGCACTGCTATTATGAACTATTACTGACATGAACAGGCCACCTGTGTTGATGTTACGCACAAGAAGCGAGGAAGGCCGCCATTGAAGGCGGAAGAAGCATCGCTTAGAACCTATGCAGCTCATATGGACAATCGAGCGACACAAGGAGAGCAGCACGGCCCCCAATCACGACGCACCCTACACAGAGCTACATCTTCCCGTGAGATTCGCCCCATGACAGATCTTCAAATGCCTGGGGCGCAGACGGGCGCCATGGCCATGAGAGCGTCGGCTGGGCATCCACAGAGATGGGCCGCTCCCGTATACTCGCAGGCCATAGACCCGTCGATAATGCAGCGCAGTGTTGGGCACAGACGGTTTTCTTCTTCTGGCTCTGCACAGTCCATAACAGCGGCTTCTCCACCCGGTTATGTCCCGATGCCTGTTGGGTACAACCCAGCCTTGGGAGGGCAACGGATGCCTATGGGCATGGGAAGACCACTGTCATCCTACACGCATCAAGGCATGAACCCTACTACCACGCCGCCCCAGTATCAGCAATCCTTTGTCCCAATTTCGCCCTATCCAGAAAGCGCCCGGATGTCTAATCGGATGCCAATGGGAGAATCTCCAATGTCTAGGGATCCGCGGGAAGGCTATTTGGAATCTCCAGTAAGACTTCCGCCCATTTACCCTCCCACGATGGGAACACCGGCCTCAACGTCGCAAGGGCATCGCCTGAGCGATCCGTACCCAGGAGCTTGGTCGCCGCGGACGCGGGAAGAATTTCTTCAGCAGGAGCACCGGCAACAAATGCCCTCGCATGGCTTCATCGACCCACTATCCCCTAGCAGTCAAATGCGACACGCCGCATCTGACATGGGGTATGGGGAGCCCGTCCCTCGGCAATTAGGACCTGGCTCAACTGCAGAGAGACACGCAATGCACATGTCGCTTGTACCTGCCCCCGATGAACCACCAACGACCGAGGCGGACACTGAGGGCAGCAGGCCAGCCAAGCGGCGCAAAATGGCCTTGGACGACATGGTGAACGACTAAGTGTTGTTCTTCGCATAGCACCTCCTCCCCATCAAGGTCTCGATCGAGACATGCACACCCCATTCTTTTCTCATCGCTTAAGGAGCTACGCCGTCCTTGAAGCGCTCCGGGCTTGTAGCAGGAACTACAAAGATAACGATCTTAATGTGCACTTTCTTTTGTGTCATGTGTGCCCAATCTCGATCGTTGACTACTTACTCATTCCCCCACATCTACTCACTTCTAATTTCCTTTGTCTCATACACCGTGCATACAATCTCCCATTTTTGTTTTCGTCTTTGGAACAAAAAGTACATGACCCGTCGAGCTACGTTCAACATTTCCTTTGTCACCTATTGTCACATTGCATGGATACAGGCATCGCTTCCTTCTTTATTTCTTGGTCTGTTGCTGCATAGCGTGCTTCTGTCTTTCTTTAACCATATACCTTGGGGTTCTTGAATGTTTTGGTCATCGTCATAGAAGGCGTTCGGTGGAGTCCAAACATAACTCTATCATCATCATCATCGGCTTGATGCTTCATTACTGCGTATTTGTTGGGGGAGAAAGGGGGCAGGAGGGAAACTAATCCGTTGTATTAATAATTGGCGGGCGATGCCGTCTAAACTCGGCACTGAGACTGCAGGGCAGATACCACAGTACAGGTCATGACTGTGAAAATACTAAGGTTCAACTTTGAACACCTCGAGTGGAATGATTCTCGCCATCGTGTGTCGTAGATGTAATATGCATCCCATAGCCAAGTCCTTGTCCCGTGATGACGGCCAACTGTTCGTTCGGAGATAAATTCCTCTCCACACCAGTTTCCCCCCTTGGAACTACGAATCTTAACGGGAAATATACTAGTACTTAGCACAATACACCATCTCCTTTCCCCAGATTTAGAGTTCTATGCCAGAGAGCAGTAAGCCCAATCACAAAGAAGCCCAAGCAAGGAGGCGCGATTTGCCAGACAATCACAGCGCTGAAGGAAAAATCGATCGATCTCCATGGTCTGCCGAATGATGCAAAATGAAGGATATTTGATCGCGCACTTCACGGGGGGGTGGGTGTTCACAGCAGGGTTGCACAATGTGCTACATCGCGAGCCAAGCAACCTATCAAAATGAAGGCATGACCGCATGGGTTACTAGTCTGCAGAAACTTGGTTGAGAACATCGATTGGAGCGACTTGAAGGGATGGGCAGCGGGGAATGTAAGGATGTGGCAAGATGTAAGTTGGAGGTCTAGATCATCCGCTATTTACAGTAATAGTAGTACTACCAGGTAAATAATCTGTTCCACGGGAACGGGAAGGTGGTTCTATTCGGTAACTTTATTTTCCTTTCGGCTGAAGTTGATGAAGAGCTCAAGTTACTCACCATATGTGTTCTTCTACTGGGGCAATGCGTCACTCGTGGTACCTTCGATCAATGACGTTGAGGAGCTGCAGATGGTGGATTGACCTATGGCTGCTACGCTTCTGTGGCCAAAGGATTGGTTGTCTCACAGTGCTTGTCATCCGCCCTCGTCTTCCAGAACAATTCGGTCACGCCGTGCATACATTGTTCCCTTTTGGATATCACTGCTTTAGTTGAGGCTGTCGAATCTGCTAAGTATCGTATGATTTTCTGGTGATCAGCATTCTTCCTTTTTCATGAATGCAAAGTCTAGATCGGCTCGAGCTCTTGTTTGGCCTCAAGCCAAGCCTACCGAGATTCGAGGACCGTGCCAGGCTCAAGTGTTCAAGTCGCCCCAAAGCTAGATATAGGCTAGAAGGTCTAGGACATCCACACTTCGACTGTCTCAAGCACACCTGCAATCTGGCCCTGACTGACTCGCAGGGATGGAGCCAATACCACATTGCCACGCGCGCCCGAAAACCTCCTTACGGTTCGTTCCAACGGGCCGGAGATATGTGGCCGATCCGTGAAGATTATATCTCCACGTTTTCAGCTATCTAGATTGTGTATCACAGCTTCTCCGCTGGATCGCCCTTGTATTACGGCTATACTTATCACTGAACTGTTCGGTGAATCAGACGCGCACAGCATTGGAATGTGTCTGTGGGGAGCTCCTTGAGGTAAGGTACTGAAATGGCAACCCCTTTCAAATAATGGAGTCGACGTGTTCCATCTGACGTGTAACCCTCAAGATTATATATTCAAGTGTTGGCCCAACTCTCTAGAATCTACTCAGCGCATCCTCGATATCCTTCTTAATACCAATGACATTTTCTTCGATATGCAAAGTGTCTGAAAAAAGAGATAAAAAATGAATACTCTGCTTATCCACCATTGGACCGCCCTCAACAATGCCCTGTCCTCCAACGATATTGGGCGCGATCTGGATGGCAAGACCTTGGACTTAGCCACCGTCGTTGCCGGTGCACGGTAGGCCATTATTCCTTGTTACGCTCAAAATAGTGTTGTGGAAATCTGGCGGCTGCGGTTGTGCCGCTAACTCTCTGCTAGATATGGAAAACGCGTGTCGCTTTCACAAAGCACCCGCAAGCACGTTCAACGGTCGGAAGCGGTGTTGAGGAAACATTTGGCGGACGGGGAGCTAATCTACGGTTAGCCCTTGCTTTTCCGTTGCAATAGTCGATGTATATTCACATGCTACAGGCGTCAATACGGGTTTCGGCGGTAGTGCCGATACAACCACAGATGCCGTGAACAAGCTGCAAGAGAATTTACTACAGATGCTCCAGGCTGGTGTCAAACTGGATGGGTCGAGCCCGGTTGTTGTAAACAAGCCGAATGAGGACATCCTCCCCCTGGACGATCCAATCTCCGCGACCATCATGCCAGAGTCTTGGACCCGAGCAACCATGATTATCCGGTTAAACTGCCTTGCCTCTGGATCATCCGGCATCCGGCAGTCGGTCTTGGACGTGCTGCTCCGGATGATAGAGCAACATATCACACCCCGAGTTCCATTGAGAGGCAGTATATCGGCCTCTGGTGATCTCAGTCCACTATCATACATCGGTGGAGCGATGCAAGGGCACCCCTCTATTCACGTCTGGAAGCGCGGCCGCAGCTCCGATTGCCAAGTCAAAGGGGCTGATGTCGCCCTCAAAGAGAGTTCAATACCGTTTGTCTGTCTAGATGCGAAAGAAGGCCTGGCAATCGTGAACGGAACGGCGACCTCTGCAGCCGTGGGTGGGCTGGCTTTGCATGAGACCCTTGGCCTTGCTGCTCTGAGTCAGGTTCTTGCAGCGATGAGTGTCGAAGCTTTACACGGTACTAGCGAAAGCTTCGATCCATTCTTTGCAAAAGTTCGCCCTCACCCCGGACAAACAACGGCTGCCAAGAATTTGTACAAATTTCTTTCCAACTCGAAGCTGCTCAATGACGGAAATGATTTCGGACAGGGAAGCCTACGACAAGATCGGTACTCGATTCGCACATCTGCGCAATGGATGGGTCCACTTCTTGAAGACTTGGAACTGGCATATCAGCAGATCTCCGTGGAGCTGAATTCGGTAACGGACAACCCTCTCATCGACACGGCTGGTGATAATGCTCGTATTCTACACGGTGGCAATTTCCAAGCGAAGTCAATCACGAGCGCCATGGAGAAAACCAGGCAGGCCGTTCAATCTATGGGCCGTATGCTCTATGCACAATGCACAGAGCTGATCGATTCGTCCAAGAACAATGGCTTGCCTCCTAATTTGTCTGCCGATGAGCCTAGTCTGTCGTTCACATTCAAGGGTGTAGATATCATGATCGCTGCGCTACAGTCAGAGCTAGGATTTCTCGCAAATCCTATTGGGAGCCACGTCCAGACAGCCGAAATGGGAAACCAGGCATTGAACTCGCTTGCCCTGATATCGAGTCGCTACACTTTAGACGCAGTTGCTGTCTTGTCACAAATGGCAGCTGCCCACCTCGTGGCTACCTGCCAGGCTCTCGACCTCCGTGTGATCAACATCCAGTTCATGCGAACCCTAGAACAGGACTTCATGAAGTTATTTGGCGACAGCTTCCAAGTCAACGCAGTGCCTTTCAAGAATATTCTGGCTATCTCCAAGGAAGCCTGGGACGCCTTTGCCAAGCAGGTGGAACAGTTACAGTCCGTCGACTCCTGCAGTCGATTTCACCAAGCTGCTCGCGCTATTCTGCCCATTTTCATTATGGCATTGCCACAAAGCGCTGCTCCCCAGCCATTATCCAATCATGGATCGATCGTCTAGGCTCCCCAGGCAACTGA